ACGCTCGCAAACCTTTTAAACGCCCCACTTAAGATACTCGATACTTTTAGCAAGGTCGGCATTGCAACATACTAAAAGAAAACTACTACTAACTTCGGTAGCTTTTCACAGACGCAACACTTTGGTAGCTTCAGAGCAAATTGTGATTAAATCCGCGTTTACATTCCCATTCGACAACCTCGTTAAAAAAAAAAAAAAGAAGAAACCACCTGCGTTGAGGTTTGTTGAGCTGGTGAACACGAGGGCCACCAGAAAAAAGGTGAAGTAAATTAGTGAACGAGTGACAAGTTTGCTTTCTTGTCGAGCTTTTTATTTAGAGGGGCATAATGTTAACGTGAAACGTTCATTGGCTAGGTGTTCGGCATTTCGTGAAGCCCAGATAAAAGCGTGGCCGCGAGACTCGACAGAGATTGGATAACAGGGAGATCATGTGACCAGAGGGGTAGGCGAGGAGTTCGAGTAGGAAATGCTCTGGAAGATCGTCAAACTTATCAGCCCGATTAGCGACACTATCGCTTCATTCTAGGAACTATCAAGTGTACACACGGTAAGCAATAAACTATCTGATAAAGAGCGATGTGAACGTAAGAGTCTGGAAACTATCGCGAAACGTGTGATGCCAGAACGTTTTACGTACGCAAAATAATTTCCTAGCAATTTGCCCAAAAATTTGGAGAACCGACTATCTCATCATGATCTAGCCGTGACGCAGCATTGCGATTAAAACGTTCTTAGCGGCCGCCACGGGGCGAGAAACACTGTTTAATCTGGATCTACAAATACTATGTCTAGGTGGAGCAAGTCCCAGTCCGTCTAAATGGGAACAGCCTCTACGCATTCATCCATCTAACCGTGCACAAACCGAAACTAATGGCGAATGACTACTCACGAAATACAATACAACACTGCGCACATAGTATTATAAGACCTATTTGGCCATGGACAAGAATGGCAGGGTTTCAATTTCGACTGCCCCATTGTCGTAGTGCATCTCGTCACTGCAAGAACATGAAGTCGGCGCTCGCTTGCATCACACCTATTCATCTCCGTGAGAACCCCCGTTTAAACACGGACCTGCTTAGACGTAGGAATGAGCAAAAGTACGACCGGCCACGTCCCCTAACTTTCTGGAGGCCTGGCTTCAACTCCACACAGCCTGACCCTCAAGGGTCAGGGATCATTTAAAAGGTCAAAGACATTGAGAGCATGGAACAGGATGATCGGCCCAGGTCACTTCTTCCTAGTGTTTACCTGCGTACAAACTCTGGTGGGCCAGGTCACAAAATCTAAAACTAGCATTTTTTCCACTTTCTCTGATCGCCCACCGAAAGTTATCATTTTCTTATTTTTACCCGATTTGCTTGATTTTAGGTGGGCTATCTCTCAAGATATTACGGTATGTTTGCTTTTTACACAGTGCAATAGCAGACTGTGTCCCGAGTACCTTACGCAAGCTAAACAATTCTTCAAAAAAGGTTGGCTCCCTTTAAAGCATTATTCTTATCTTCCTTGTTTTTGCTATCTTTTCTCGGAGCAGAAAACGGTGTATCAATGGCTTTGCTTCCGACTAACCCGCAATCGACGAGCATTGTATTTCAATTGGTTCCATTTCCCGATTCGGATATGACGATACCGCAGTCTGTTGGAGCTCGGGCAAAAATTGTGCTGGCAAATCAGCAATCTGAAAAATCCACCTCAACTGCTTGCTCATGCCGTGTCGCACTCTGTACAAGTACTGCCTGCAACAAGTTTTTTAGTTCTTATAAGTTGCTTTCAAGGCCAATGTGTTGAGGTGTAGTTCATCAAAAAGCCAAATTGTCAAATAAGGCAACTGGGCAGAGGCCTATCAGGTTGCCACTCCGCTCAAAATTAAATTTTACTTCAGCATCCAAATTGTGCCCTTTTAGAGCTGCGTTTGGTACTTATTGCAGGCCCTAAGCATCCCCTAGCAACCCGACGATGGCAGAAACACCGCTAAAGCTCCCAAGGTGAAAAACCTTGTAGTGTGAAAGCCTACACATGTTCGACTTTTCGTTTCTTGATTTACTTCTTCATGAAGGCAAGAAAAATGTGGGATCGTGAAACGTCGGGATTTCCCGCTTTGTGCCTTGCCTGCTGTCCCCTGAGATGTTGTTTGTTGGCTCTAAGCTTTGGGTTAACTCGCATACCTTGGAGACTGGTACTGTACAAAGAAAACAAATCAACCTTGAGGGCAAAAGATGGCAAGTAAGAAATGACAATGAAAAGGCCTTCTCCTACCGTGCACTAACAGCATATGAACCTAATAACAAGTTGGCTGGATTCCCTTGTAAAAATAGAATGGGTGGTATTGAGCTTGGCTTTTATGTACAATAAGCCTTTTGGCATAGTGAAGTGTGCACATGTGAGCGCAGAGATCCCAATACCGTTTGCTTTGTTAGCTAGCAACCATGTTCAAGCTTCTCAAATACAAGGTCGACACACCCGCAAGACAACAAAAATTGCTATGTACCCTTAGCGACGCAGGCCTGCCATTCACCGTTACCAATAGTTTTTATCTGGCCTATGTTCCCACAGTATATATAAAAAAAACCTGGACCCTCTTTTTACACTATTTGTTTTCACCGTGAAGGAACCACCCTTCCCCAAAAATGGTGTTTGCCTTGCTATGGACACGCAGTACTGTTCATGCTGTCACTTACCTTTCATAGAGCAGGCAGTCTGAAAAGAGCTTACATGACAACCTGCCTGCAACCAGCTGGAGCCAAAGTCATAGCACCAGGAAACAAGAGCTTTGAGCTTGACTAACCCCACAAACCCAGATTGGTTCTTACCAAGTTAAGATAAAATTAAATAGAACCCCTCATTCCAGCAAAAGTCACTGAATATTACCAGGGTATGACATCCCATGGAGTCTATTGGTGCTGAACATATTGCCTTCCCAACATAGCTATGCACCAGAGCAGGAGTTGGTCCAACAGTCGCTGTCAACTCTCCAATGTTAAATCAGAACATTTCAGGTGCAAATGCACATAGGCATGTCATCAAACTGCACAGTGCTTCAAATTTAATGCTGTCATGTCTGCAGCTGCATACCCAAAAGTTGCCATACCCTGTGAATGTTCAGTGACTCCAGCCCAGCCAGCAAAGCCTCCTAAAAAAACATTCCAGCAAAAGGTTTTTGTGGCAAGATGCCTTCCCTATTTAAACATTTGAACTCTTAAAGGAGCCCTCCGGAGCTTTCTGCGGTCGTCTGTTTATATTGTTATATTGCGTAGTAGGTGCAAGTTAATATGTATACAAAGTTTTAGATTACAAAACCGTTTATTAAGCAGATAACAGAAGAAATATCTCGGGACTATTTTCTCTTGGAAGACAATCCCCCATTCCCTGCCCATCGCTAAAACTTGACCAATGGAAATGCTGCGTCTCACGGTGAATGCGAACGTTATTATTGCAACACTTTTTAAGCTTGTTGTAAATTAGAGTTTGAGAAAAACGTAAACTGATTGTGGCGCGGGAAACACAGTCCGCAATTATCGCTCCAAAACCAGCGAACTATGTTTTCTCCCCGCAAGCTTGTTGCTAGGGGGTGATGCGTCGGCTCGTCTGCTTCCCGGGGCGTCTGCAGGCGTGCGTTTGAGGGACACATGTTCCTTCTTCCCGTGGATCCCGACTCCGAAGCCAGCTTTGCGATCCTTCCACGTCAAAGAGTCAAACTTTTCCTTGTCATCTGTGGGATGCGACTGCGTATTGCACTAGCAGCGCGACGGTGCGGTGCGACGAACGACGACTGCCGAGCACAAAGTCCGGGTTCCTTGACGACGGTCCGCGCGTGTTCCGAGATTCCTCCGCGGGTCGGCGTCGGCGGCGTCGTTGGTGACGCGCAGTGACGCCGGGATCCTTCGCTTGCTATTGGCTGACGCATTAAGAGATGCCCCTCCCGTTTTCCGGGGTCATCTCAGAAAGGGGGGCGTGCCGGGGACTTTGATAGCAATTTTAGTAGGGAAAGCCGCCGCGCATGACGGTAATTTTATGATTTTTAGGATCCTTAGGGCCTGCAGATTGAGTTACCGCTATTAATAGACCATCGCAGAACGCTCCGGAGGGCCCCTTTAAGAAAAACAAAACATGGACCTGTTAATTTGTTTTGCTTGGATGAATTAAGTACAACTAGCTCATATATTTGTTAGCGTGGAGAAACATTGAGGTGGCATAGTTTGTAGACCCCTATGAAATAGTGACCAGAAAGAATATAGCCATTTGCTGAAATGCTGTAGGCATAGTCTCATTTACCAAACTGGACACTGCCTCCTGCAATATAATAGATTACACGCAGTCTCAGATTAATATGAACTGCAGAGAAGACTATAGGAGAGTTTTCTTGCCTCTACGGTAGCTCCTTGGCTGCACAAGTTTGTTCAGCAAGAGCACTAGCTAAAGTCACGCATTCACACGTGTAGCCCTTCCAGCAGCCCATGTTAAGGTGAGACTGAGAATAGTCAAGCGCTGAAGAATGTCACGAGACCCTACATGTTAGCAAAGTTAGTTGTCCATACCTAAACAGCCTCTCTACATCACATCAGTCTCATGGATGACCCAGGTCAGACTATGGCACTACAGAGGTAGGGACTCTTGAGCAGCAAAAATCAACACCAGAGAGACCACAAGGTCCGTAGAGCCCCACCATTGCCAGCCCTGGCTTTTACAACACCTGTTTGCATCCTGCCACGTGTGGATCCAATCCCCGCGATCCATCCTACGATCCAGATTCCATACACGTTTGAAAACGGGTCCTGAACCCCTGCGTGTCAATCCTCCTCCACGTCAGGAGTGAGCACCTTCGGCAAGAAAACAGGACAGCGGGTTAGCGCAGGAAATGGCAGCCTCCGCAAAACAAAGAATCGGTCGCACAACGTGCTTTGCCGGGACCTCCCCCTCCGTTCCCCATGGTGGTTAAATCCCAAGACTAAAGAGAAAAACATGAGAAACCTTAAGCCATCTACAGCACCTGCCATACAGAAGTTGTTTTAAGCAAAACTTTATTGACCCACACTACGAGATAGCACTTACAGAAAAGCCCCGAGCAGACTTTAGCAAAACAAAACAAGGGACCCTCGGAACGGGGCCGGCAAGCACCGCGGGCGACACTGGGGCCACCCATGCGGGGGACCCGACCCGGCAAAGCCCGACAGAAAAAGGCGCGAGCGAGAGAAACGCGGCAAACACTCGTGGAGTGAGAACCGGAGAGGCCTACCCTGGGACAGGGGGATCCGAACAGCGGATGACCTCCGGCTCCCGCCTGCGTGTGCCGCTCATCCGGGCGCCGCCGAGGTGCCATCCTTTGCCTATGCTATGCTTCCCCCGGCGCTTGCTCCCTCAGCGTGGTCCTCTTGCTTCCCCTACAGCTAAGCTGTCCCTCCTCTCCGCATTGTGCCAATCCTCGGGGCGCCGCTATGCGTGCCTCCTCCTCCCACTAGTTCCTCCACACTGTGCGTGCATCCGTCCGTCCGTCACACAAAACTCCACTTTATTCCTCAGCGTGCGTGCGATCCCTCCATTGTGGCAAATCTAGACAGACAAACAGGATTAGACAAGTGGAGAAGACCACCGACTGCACAAGAGAAAGGGGCTCGACAAACACAAAACACTGCGGTCGCACAAGAAGGCAAGGGAACCTTTGTGAGCTCCAACGCCCAAACGCCTACTACACACTGGAGGCTTAAAGAGCGTGGAGTGCTAAACAAGGTCCAAGCTGTCCGGCGGCCTTCTCTATCAAATGAGGGGATGAGATCAAGTGCTATCCAAGTGAAAGAGGCCCGTGCTCGTGTGCCAGAAGGCAAACAATGAAATCAGACATGCCCACGTAAACTGAAATGTTACACAAGCTCCACAACTTGATTTATACAAGACTCGCGAGAATATGCCGGCATAATGAAAACAAAGACAGTCCAGCACCAGGGATGATGTGGTGAAGTCCGCACAGTTTCGAAACAATGCAAAAACGAAAAGGGCCGACCGCTGCTGAGCAACCCCGGCCACCGGTGCAGCGCGCTCGAATGGGAGACAGCAATGTGCTTTGGCACCCTCGCACTCGACTTTCGGGAGGCCTCGCATCTTTGCCAAATTGCAAAATTACCACCGAGACATCCGTCCGTCGATTGAACTAGCTTTAAGCAAACAGCTGTGCTGGCACCATTGCGCATCCTAAGACGTTAGGACAAAGTAAAACATAATTATGGGAAAGCCAGTAGGGAAGAACAGATTGTCCCGTTCCCAATCTCTTAACCCAATCAACTGTACAAAGAGCCCCCACCCACCCCAACCCTCCCAGACGGTAGCCTCGGCAAGAACCGAGCAGGTGGCAAGAGTATGGTGCGAAGGTGCCTTAAAAGAGACGGACAAAAGAGGAAGTGTACAAGATGGGGCCCGGCACGTGTGCGACAACCCACACGGTCCCGGCGTATCCTGAGAGCAACTCTGGCTTTGTCTGGCCACAGTCCGGCCGCCGGAGCTCAGTTGGAGTGGGAGCAGGAGCGCGACCGCGACGGAGTCCGGGAGCCGGAGCGCCGGGCGGGCGAGTAGGTCGGGGAGCCCCTGGAGCGGCGTGGAGAGTAGCTGCGGCTCCGGCTGCGAGAGCGGCTGGAGTAGTCTTCCCGCACCCGGATGTATGACACCTCTCCCTGCAAGGGCAAGGGGGCCGCACAGGGCGGAGGCGGTGGGCCGTCCGTCAGAGAGGACCGCACTGCAAGACCGTCCGTCCACAGGCGCATCCTCCGGGCATAAGACGAGCAGGCAGTGCCGAGGAGCAGCTCGAGCCGCGGGGGACGAGCGACCCAAAATCAGGAGGGACGGTGCACAACTCCCACGGCGTCCCCGTTTGCCCCTTGCTACAGGGCCACTAGGGGTCCGCCGACTACCGAGGTGCCACACACCCTACGGGACTTTTGTAAACGCTTGTCCAATGGAACTTCTGTGCAACTCTGTCACGGGCCGGTCCGCTTCGGCGACTGGATCTTCGTACGGCGCATACGAGGCTTTCAGGATGAAATTTTGAGCTTAACCCTCGAGGCACGAATTACGCGCAGTCACGAGTTACCTGGCAATGTTGCTAAGAGATTAGTTTTCGGTGGTTTCTACGTGAGACCTAGCTAAACCTCGTGCTACAAGCCGAGGGCTAAGCTAAAGAAACTCCCTAAAGTTCCCGTCATGTCAGTGACTATGAAAAGAATGATATTGTTACGAGACATTTTAATCAAATTTTGAAATGAAAATGAAAGAGAGCAGCTCCGGGCTTTAAAATGCACAGATGAATGCTGAAAACAATAATGAAATTTAAAAAATGACAAGTGAGTTAAACGGATCTAACTAATAAATGATGGTAGCACTCAAGGTCTAAATATTTAGTTACAGTTCTTGCTCCTGAGTAAACTTTGGATTATTTTACATTTGCATTGTGGTAGTTCCCCTGGACCATTTGTAGCAGCGACACATTAATTCCAATCATGCTATACCTCAATCTGTGCACCGACCAAGGCATAGGCTGCAAGCTACAGAAGTGCATGACAGATGTTCCCAGCAGATAGCTTGAAGCTTTTGCACAATCCACGAGCAAACAGAGAGCGCCACAGCAAAGCTCTGGTGTAGCTGGAAGCCGGGCGAGAGAACAAGCGCCTGCCGAGGCGGCAGCTCCACCCACCTCGTGAGAGCGGAACCGCGAGTCGTCCAGCTTCTTGACGGCATACTTCATGTCCTCGTAACGCAAGAACTCCACCACTCCAGTGCCGTCTTTGAACACGTCGGCATAGCACACATCACCTGCCTCCCTCATGTGATCCTTCAGGTCCTGCCAACTCCCGCTGGGAGGCAACCCTGTGGGGGGAACACAAATACACACGCTTCAAAAAAAGAACAACTTACATCTCTCAAGTAAGTCGTCCACCCCTGGCATAATCAGACTCCCATGACAGGCACGTGAGCTGCTTCCCAATTCCTCAACGTATTGCAGCTATAGAAAAGAATGCCTCGAATAAGTAGAAAAGGCGTTTGTTGACTCTGTTACTAAGGCGTGATGCAGGCTGTGTTAGCTTTGAATATTCAGGGCTATTTGGAAAACGCGGGCCAAATTGCTCTTGCGTAAACTATGCATTGCGCAGGAATAAGCTTGATGCCAAAGTGGTCTGTGCCAAAGGGCCCATTTAGGAAAATTACTAGCATTCAGGATAACTGAGTAATTACTTCCAGTAATAAAATTTTTGAACTATTAATTTGAAAAGCATGGTTTTAATGAGAAACTTGAAGCAAATAATCTAAAACTACCAAGTCCACCCACACTACAAGGATATAAGGCACGCGCAGCATTTAAAAGCATTCTGAAAAAATATTTAATTTGGACGAGTTTCGGGATTTCGGTTTCTAATCGGAGCGCACCTCCGTGGCAGTAATCCTGCTCCCTGAGGTTAAAATGTGCAACGTATGTGCGCCACCACGCATCACACCCAAAAGAGGTTAGACAAGAAAACGTTTGGACTGGCACGAGGTTTGCCTTTTTGACTTCAGTGCAAGTGTGAAGACTCGTCTTTACGTTTGAAGTGCGACGGCGCAAGCAGGTTGCGCATTTTTACCACGGGGGCGGGATTGCTAGTGCGAAGGTACGCTCCAATAAGAAATCAAAAGCTAGAAATGCGTTCAAATAGAGCAATTTTTCAATTTTTCAGAATTTAGTAAAATGCTGCATGTGCCTCATATCATGTAATATGGGCAGATTTAGCAGTTTTGGATGACTGACATCAGGTCTTTAATTGAAACCATACCTTTAAAGTTAATAATTAATGCAGGAGTGATCTGGCATGCACTTACAAAAAAACCCCTGTAGTATCGGGGAAAAATGAAATGCGAACAGACGAGCGTGTGGCTCGTGGTGCAGTCTGCGCCGCCTGGAAGTGAGCCTAAGAGCGAGGCTGTGTGGCCTACTCCCATCTGTACATGCCCTTCGCTCGGTGCTTCCCAAGCTTCGCCGTTGCGCCTCTCGGTGTGCTAAAAGCTATCACCGCTATCGTTGCTCACTCGCCGCGTGCAGCGCGAGGAAGCTCGCCGCTCTAGCTGCAACTAGCGTTGAGCTTCCTCGCGCCTCCCGAGCTTCGGCGCAATACCGAAGCTTCTGAAGCGCCAAGCGAGGGGCGTACCACACGCCCTTGACCCTAGGCTTACTTCCAGGCGGCGCAGCCTGTACTGCGAGCCATGCGCTCCTTTGTTCACATTTCATTTTTCCCCCGATAGTACATACATGTGTTCTAATAGTAACAGTAGCCCACAACTGTTATTGAGTTCTTAATGGCAATTCAGATGCAGCAATAGAGCAACGAATATAGGAGAGAAAAAAAGGGGAAAGCCCATGGTAAGGTATCTTACCAACTACAAACTTTTAGAGAATAAGGAAAAGGGGGCCGCAAGTGTTGATAAATGGTTCGCTCTTTAGTAGCCATCACAAGCGGCAGCCATTAGTGCCTCTTCCTTCCTTCTTGCACTGCGAATCACGGTTGGCCAGCATGGTGTCATTGGAGAATTTTTCAGACAGGAAAAAAACAGCATTAACTGCTCCGCAGATCACATTCAAAAGGGCACAGCACATTGATGCAGTTTCAGCTTGGAAGCCATGCTCATGTGAAAGTGTTTTCTTGAGAATTTTCTAGCAGACTAAGAGTTTCAAAGGTGGACTCACGGGAGCAAAGATAGTATACGTTCGCAACAGGACACACTAAGTGATTGCCCACGAGCAGTGTTGTGGCAAACACTGACACATGAACCTTTGCAGTGAGCTAGGAGTCTCACTGCTAGCAAGCACAGACCAACTCCATCAAATGATGTGCCAACGAGGCAATAAAATGCTTAATGGTGTGGTCACAAGCAAATTCTGTTGTAGCTTGATGTGATATCAGTACTTGCAATGGACTATTATTTAGAGTGTCCGTGAGAGAATGATGCATGGTAATTTTCTTTGGGTTTCTTGCTTAGCTTGCCTGCGACACATTAGCAGGGCCAGCCTGCTCAGAAAGAAAAGTAAAGCTATACGCACTATGTTGTGCATCTTGACAGGAAATGGCTATACTCACTATGAGGAGAGCTCGTGCCATTTCGGTTACCCTTTTCGGATTGCGCATGATCACTGGTGAGCGCGTTAACCTAGCTCCCCGCCTGCGTTCATGCCGCTTTGCGGCGACAGTGTGCGGCTGCTAATTACAAAACTTAACCCGTACACGCCGCATTGCCCCGCTGTCCCCGATCGCACCTCCGGAAAGGGAGTCCCATACCATTTAGTTCTGCAAAGTTTCGTCAACATTTTTTTTCTTTTCTAGCGGGTATAATTGTTAAAAGGAAACGTCGTAAATATCGCCAAATGCCCAACAACAAAAAAGTTACATTTTATACGAACTTTGCATTGTGTGTATAGCAATTTCCGGTCGAGGTGCACGAGGTAGTGCATATAGCTTTACACGAGGTAGTGCGTATAGCTTTACTCCAGAATGAATGGCATGCTCGTGCGCTAGCTTTGTGCATAGGGAGTTTCTCAAACGAGCTTATTATCAGCAGTTGACGACCTCAATATGAGCAATGCAGCTGCATTGTCCTCTAATGGAAACTCAACAATTTTTGCAACTTTTGTACACTTAAAAGCAGCATCTGAAATCAGAGTAGTAGTGCAGTCACCACGTCGTCATCCACTAGATGTATTCCAACAGCCGTACCCTTTATAACGGGAGGTAGCTTGCGCCCCCTAGCCAAGAAACTAAAAATCAAAGTATGATTCCTCCCCTTGCCCTTGTACGCCAATGGTGGGGTGGGTGGTCCAAGCAGACAGAACTTTCTTTGCGCGAGTGTTTATGCGGACCGAACACACTGCAGAGCTCGGCACGCGCCTTGCTCTGTAGGAATAGCGTTGCATTAAACTTGTGAAATGGAGTATACATGCTTGAAAAACGGCGCTCACCTGAAACGAGAACGCGATACTGCGACCTGCGGGCGGGAGGTCCTCGTCCGCGGCCGGGACCCATCCCGCCCCTTCCCGGGGCCGAACCCCTCGGGAACTCCACACGCAACCGGTATCCGTCGTAATCGTATCCATCTCGTGCGTGAACTGCGTCCTCAGCATCCCTGCAAAATGATAGACGCAATACAGAAGTGTGGAAATTTACTCCAAAGTTTGAGCGATACGAAGCGAAAGCAAAGGGGCAGCACGCAGAGAAACGAATCGCGTAGGTCGCGTCGTCGAGAAAACTGATGACGTGCGCATTGCGCGCATCCGCGCCTAAAGCCAAAACAAACCCCGCGCAGTAACCTTGAAGATGGGAAAAGTCAGCTGAGACGACGCCACTGAGAACCCTGCTTCGTATTAACTGACCGCAACAGCGTACGAACTTATAATTATAAAGAACTCTGTTTATGAAAACATTAAACAAAAGATCGCGGGAGAAAAGAACCAAGCGTTACCTTGGGTCCTCGAATTCAACAAAAGCGAATGGCGGACCTCTGCGATTCTTCAGATCGATGAACGTAATTTTGCCGAATTTGTAGAACAGGTCCTCAATATCCTTGGTTCTGATGTCCGGAGGTAAGTTCCCGACGTAAATTCTGCATTCATTGCCTCGGAAAGACATTCTGAAAACAGGATCGCAAAGGATTGCAAATATTCACGGACGATGGCCACCCCACCCGAAAAACAAGCACCCGCGAAAGTCTCGAAATTTCCCGTAAAAAACGAGATAGCGCGAGACACATGAGCCGTCCTTTTTTCTATGTTCCAAATTTTTCATCATAAAGAAGCGGCATTTTGGGCGGCTTCGTAGCTGCCTGCTGCTTTGATTTACCGGCGACTAGAGAAAACTTCGGCGCGCACTTTATTGGATGAAATTTGGTGACGTCACGACCAATAGGAGCACGGAAACAGCCGCGGTCTCCTCAACGCCCGGAGAAACATCGGAAACATCGGAAACATCGTGCCTGACGTACCGTCGTCGAACGAAAGGTGGGTGGTTTGAGTTTTCCTGTGATGTGATCTCTATGTGTGTTCGTTCCAGGCGTCCGAGCTGTTTCTTAGTTTCAGATCTATTTGGCGCCGCTGCCTACATTGTTTGAGCCTGCGTTCACGATTAAAACAACCATCGCAGAAAGCTGAAAGCCCGCCGAAGAACGGCTGACTTGCGAGCTAAACCTAATTCAACAAAACCATTTGATCCGACAGAATAATGTGCTTGATCTTACATTTCATGTCAACAAAGAACTGCGCTGTCTGTCTTCGTCCCTACATGTTTTATTCTTTCGTGTTTTTCAAATCTTTACCAACCCGCGTCCAATCGAATGCCCCGATCACAACAAATAGTTGGTCGTGCTCCGATGGCCCTTATCATCCGCCGGTAAGGCAGTTACGTCAAGTAACGTCATATTCTCAAACTGTGAAATACTATTACCACCTCTAGTTTCACATTCTGGTGCACCGTGCACTTGCAGCTTCCTGCACCCCTGCGAGGTTTCCTGCGATCGTACCCTGTATATGATGGATTTCTCGCCGCACGCGAGTGCTCTCGAAGGCGTGCTATACACTCTGTAACATACGTTGTGTGCAGAAAAGGCACAGGCCCGAGCACAAAAGCGCCCTTTTTGCACGAGCAGCCGTGCAAAAAGAACATTCTGCGGAGCTACGCCCTCGCACCCGTGCCTCTGCTGCACACAACTTATTAATAACCGAGCCGTTCTCGTTTTTGTTTTGCATATTACTGTGAAAGAAGTGTCATTGTTGTTTTCTTCTCAAACAAAACTCACACGCTAGACAAAAGCAAACAGATAGGAGTCTGCACATTCACACCCTTTTCTCCCTTGTGCGACAGGTTATAGCCGGTCGCGATTCAACACCGTTTCTTTTGAAGCTGATGAGCACCACAAGGCGTGAAAGAGGTGACTTGCAGCTTTGCCAAGGCAGCGGCAAGACACTACAAGCCTTCGCATTAACTGGCTAGCCAGTGCCGCTCTGTTCTGAACAGCACTGCGTGCCATGCAGAGGGTTTGTGCAAGCTCGCTGGGTGGCGACGCTAGCCACGGTAAGTTCATCCTATGCAGCTTTCTTTTAGGGATATATGTGGCTTGCAGGCCATGTCGTGCATGTGCCATTCGAGGGACAGCAGTGCCAGTGGCAAGGCTGTGCTGATGGTAATCACCACTGCACTGTGCTTTCATTCAATAACTGCTGAAAAGGAACCAAGTACTTCCGAGAGATTCTCGGTTGTGCTTTGATGAACTCCAGCTCGCTTATGAACAGGTGGATGGCACAGCTGGCCTTTCCTAGTGGACTTGATGTCTGTGTTAACAATGCAACGAGACTTCTTTTTAGTCTGCATCGCACATAACTGCCATGATAGCCAGTGTGGACGTAGCTGGGGTAGCCCCCAATATGGCTTCTCTAGCTCGACACAAGTAATGTTCCTACCACTGTCGTGTATGATGCCAATCCAAGATTGAAATATACTTGTGCTTTTCATTGCCGTGACGTCACGCAGGCACATAGCCAGGATTTTGTTTTGGGGGCGGGGGGCGGCAGCGGCGGGCCGGGCCGGGCCGGGCTCCATGAACCCCCTCTAGTTACGTGCTTGTGTCACAGGATGGGACAGGCTCACGGTTCGAGCGGCTGTGTAGAAATGAACTATGCCGAGCATTTGTTTCGTGCTGCTGGGTGGGATTTGGGGCGACCTTCCAAAGCATTCTTTTGACACCATGAAACTGTTTGTGATCAGTTGTGAAGAAAGTCTACAGCCCTAAGAGTGAACCTTTGCCTTCCCATGACGTCTCAATTTCAATGTTGCCAGTAGAGCTTTTCACTTCGAAAAACACAATGATGACCAAAATTGTAAATTCTGTGACTGCGAAAAAAAGCTATTTCGGCCAGATATTTCGGTTACTATTTCAGCGATGTTTGTTGATGTGTTTAGCAAGTTTTTAGGCAAATCGGGGACAATGAAGAAAATGCCGGAGTACCCCTTTAAAACATAAAGTGCACGTAGTACACAATGAAGAAGTTGCTCGCCAATCATTCTCTAAGAAGTGCGAGTTGAGTCCTTTGGAGGCAGTTTACTGCCGCAGCGTGCACTTTAATCTGCCCGAGAAGAGAAAACGAGATAAATGACGAGTAGGATATCTTTGTTCCAAGGCTTCTTGAGACAGGAAAGGCTAGGGAACCAGTATTGTTGCTTCTTACTACCCGGTACGAGACTCAAACCCGACATGCAAGGAAGTCGAAAGGCCTTTTCATGTGCCCTCTTTCTGCTTCCTTGTGCCTTGAGTTTTAGCTGTGTCTACAATTCACGCTTGCCTGCATGCCTACTCTTTTGGTCTCTTTTTTGTTCACTGTGTTACTGAAGTTTCCTGTCGTTGCTGTCCCAGAAATGCTTTGTGGATGCACAGAAGTACAAGGTGCTTGACGCCTGCAGCTTATTGGTATTGCTTTTCCCCGTACCACGGCATGAAGGAGGTGGCCTCTCTCCCTTTCAAGCAGCTGCGATATACTACTAGCACTGGGTTACAACTGCAGCTAGCCCATGGGTACCGTTCTGCATCCTGCACTGCGTGTAGTTCCGAGAGCCATGTGAAAAGGCAGGTGTGACCTTTTTAGGCACTGTCACTTTGTTTTGTGCATTTTCTGCCGCTTTTTCGGTGCAATTTCTTTTTAAGATTCAAATATTAGAAAACGGACTCAAGTGAGAGAGGGGGTTTTCTGAGAAGACTGGCTTCTTTGCTAAACCATTGGGACTGGTATTATATCTATAGAGTTCATGTACACCTTACGTTATGTACTTTTTCTTTAGTTTTATTTTACTTGGTACTTGTACTTCGATGTTACACGACAGCCACTAAAAATGAAGAAAAAACAAAAAAAATGTTGACCTGTCGGTTTTTTGTTTTGTTTTTTTGCAATATGTTGGAAGAGTCAAAGATGTGGTCGGTCATTCATGTTATTTTTCCGACACGCACGTCCATCCTATGTTTACATAAAGCCCCAATTGCCCCTTAGCAACGGAAATAATCTGTGCGACAGACTAGGCGGCAGCATTGTGGACGGAAACTGGCCTGATTATATCCGCCATGTTTAGAAACTACATTTGATGTCAGGTTATGAATTCAGTGGCAAATTCCTCCTAAAAGAATCTACATCACTCTGCCAGCCAATCGCTGCCGTCACTTGTCGTGACGTCACGTCCAGCAAAAAAACTACAAACTAGTATTTTTTTTTTTTTTTTTTGTGGCAGGCCTCTGTTGTTGATGCCACATAGCACGTCAACACTCAAGCAATTCTTCCGCTCTTGACCTCTCCGGTTTCACCTTGCGAAGTTGTGACGGTGTCTGCTTTTGTTTGCGGTATTTCCCATGTGTCGACGTGAGAAGGCAGCGGTTGTATCGCCAAGGAAGTAGCAATCAATCTGTGGATTTGCTCCAGCGGCACAGTGTTACAAACAGGACTCTTTCACCAAAGGCAAAGTCTAACAACTCGCCCTACAGTTGCCAGCATCGTGCAGCCGTGAATGCGTAACTTGTCCGAACGCTTTTATGCTTTCTTCTGTGTACAGTGACAAAATGAATGCGAAATGCCGTACAGCAAACTACAGTAGAGTCTCATTAATTCAAACTCCAGGAAGTCACAGATTTTAGTTTGAATTATCAGAAATTCATCTAAATATGATACTAGACAGCATTATGATTTGTTACATGGATAGCTACTCATACAAAGCAGATTTTTGCCAGTTTCCTCTACATAGGCCTAATTATAAGCAAGTACAGGCATAACACATTAGTGAAAGAGCTGTGACATTGAGTTTATTCATCCGGCAAAAAATTTGTCGATTGTGGACTGTTTAGTCAGCACATACAATCTCAAAATAAAATTTTCAATACCAGCCAACGCAAGTAGCTCCTTACGGGAATCTTCCTTTGCAAACAGAAACTTCCTGAGCTGAGCGATGTGCTCAAAGCTATGGCTGTGACAGTTGGTAGCAAGTCATCCCTTTCTTCATTGTCATCTTCACTCTCACTGCTGCACTGTGCTGGCATTACTTCCTGTACTATGTCCTCTAATGAGTCATCACGACAAACACACACATCATCGTCAAGACTAGCATATTCCGCCTATGTGCTTCAAGGCCAGAAAGCATGATGCCAGTGAGCTGGTCCTCATCCTCGATATCGTCTTGGTCATCGTTGCTAGTCTTGAAGCACATAATGTGAACGCTGTTTTCCGCTAATGTGTGCCCGCTTGAGCCTTGAGTGTGCTTCTTTATGAGCACCGGTGCACTGCGGAGAAACAACACTCATGAAAGCACGCTCTGCAGGTTTGCTTCTCTGCGGTGCACCGGTGCTCGGAGAGAAGCATACTCAACAGGGCCGCGAGTACAAAAGTATGAATTAAAGGAGTCATGAAACGCTTTTCCAACTTTTTCCTGTTTAGCTTTCCTCTTCAACTCATAAATCGCGCATTCTACCAAACAGTTCAAGAAGATGGAAACGGGGCAGTCCCCTCTTGCTCGGACTCTCGTTTGAGTACCGGGACACAGCCATTGTCCCCCTAGAAGATTAGCCCGTCGCTCAAAATTCAGACAAAAGTTGCTTTCCCCACCTCAATCACCCCGAAGCTTACAGTGCTGCGGAAGCTACGTGCTCGTTGGGCCAGCCACATTTTTGCCACGTGATCACGCTCTCTCACGCATACCCACGCGCAGAGAATGAGGTCAGGTGATGAAAGGGAGGCGGCTGATTGTCCGGCAAGCACGTAGCTTCCACCACAATGTCAGCTTAGGGGTGAAGGAATTA